GATCACAGACCTGTGCTGTCACTTCTGGTGACCTTTCTTCATTTTAAACACAACTTCTAAATGACAACGTTTCTTTATGTCAAAGGTTGGTTTGGTTGGGTGACTGATGTTTACAATGATGAGAATAGAACCCAGGGCTTTGAGCTTTATCTTTGAACTACATCTCTTTTATTTATTAGCAGCATTTTTGTATTGTTTATGGTTTTACTACGAAATTCAGGATGGTCTCAAACTAATAAACCTCCTGCCTCAGTTTCCTGAGTGCTGGGATTACAGGTATAGGACGCCAGGCTTGGATGAATGGCTGTTACAAAGCCTAAAGTTTTGCCTTATAGGCTGCCTGCATGATAGGAAGCTTTTTGGAACTGTGTTCTCTAAGATTCATGGGACAGCTGGGCGTTTGTGGTGCACCCTTTAATCCCAGCACTTGGGAGGCAGAGGCAGGTGGATCTCTGTGAGTTCAAGGCTAGCCTGGTCTACAGAGCAAGTGCCAGGATAGGCTCCAAAGCTACACAGAGAAACCCTGTCTCTAAAAACAAAACAAAACAAACAAACAAACAAACAAATGCATGGGACAGCACAGGTGATCTATTTATACCATCACGACCCTTGTGACAGGTGCCATCTACAGCAGAGCTAATAGGATCACACTCCTTAGGGATCTGGAAACAAGCCCATGGTTGCCAGGTGTCCTGGTAGCCCATGAATAAAATCCAGTGTCTTTCCTGGGCACAGATACTATAAGGTTCTTTTTTGCAAACTTTTTTTCTGGGTCATTTGCCCTCTAGGCACAACCCTCTGGGGTGTAACCTTTAGGGGATTTATTCATTTATTTGAGTCTCAGTTTCTCAGTAAAAGCAAGCATTTAATCAATAGATATTGAAAGATAAATACAGTCTTTTCCTAAAATCAGGAAAAGTGTTTATTTCATTAAAATGTAAGACAGAGCTGGAGAGATGGCTCAGTGATTAAAAGCACTAGATACTCTTACAGAGGACTCAGGTTCCATTCCCAGCATCCACACAATTGTTCTCAACTGTCTGTAATTCCAGTTCCTGGAGGTCTGTCTCCTTCAGACACATATGCAGACAAAACACCTATACATGTAAAAATGAATGAATGAATGAATGAATGAATGAATGCCTTGTATTCCTCCACCCCAGCCTCCTTGTGTGCCAGCTGCTGAGACCTGGGATGGAAGGCCCAATGGGTTCTTCCTCGGGAGTCTTGCTTGTCGGTGTGACAACCTGCTGCTGTTCACACCCACCTGAAAAAAATAGAGATATTTATGCTAGTAAGATTGGCTCCATGGTAGGGCTCTGGTCAAAACAGAAGTTTGTAGCTTATTTATGTGTATTTACTTATTTTAAAATTATTTATGTAATGCAGGGCTTTGATAAACATAGGTTGTAATGGGAGACTTTTTTCCCATCTATCTCAGTTCCACTGGACTAGTTTCTCTCATGCCACCTCTATGAAATAAACTCAGAGACTTAATATATATTTATAATTGTTTGGCCATTGGCTTAGGCTTCTTACTGGCTAGCTTTCTTAATTATTAATCTATTTCTATTAATCTGTGTATTACCACGTGGCCTTGGCTTACCCAGGTGATGCCCTGTCGTCCTGTCTCCCTCCCGGCTGCATGGCATCTGACTCTGTCCTCCTCCTCCTTCTGCCTCTTTGTTCGGAATTTCCACCTAGCCAAATTCTGCCTGTCCATTGGCCAAAACAGCTTTATTCATCAACCAATAAGACAATTCCCCATCCCCAAAAAACTACACCCCCCCCAAAACCTAGTCACAGAATGCAGAGGATACTCCCCATCAATAGGTTTATGAATTTAGGGTTTTTGTTTTTGTTTTTTTGGCAGGGGGGATGACAACAGGTTTTCAAGTATCCCAGGCTGGCCTCAAACTCTTATAACCAAGGATGACTTTGAACTTTCTTTTCTTGTTAATTTTTTTTGGGGGTGGTGGCCTTTAATTCCAACATGAAGGAGGCAGAGGCAGGTGGCTCTTTGAGGCCAGTTTGGTCTACAGAGCAAGTTCAAGGACAACCAGGGTTACACAGAGAAACCTTGTCTCGAAAAACCAAAAACCAAAGCAAAATAAAACAAAACCAAAAAATTTTTTTAAAGATTTATTTATTTTGTGTGTGTGTGTGTGTGTGTGTGTGTGTGTGTGTGTGTGTTTTAAGATTTTATTTATTGTGTATGCAACATTCTGCTTCCATGTATATCTGCACACCAGAAGAGGGCACCAGATCTCATAACGGATGGTTGTGAGCCACACTGTGGTTGCTGGGAATTGAACTCAGGACCTCTGGGAGAGCAGCTGGTGCTCTTAACCTCTAAGCCATCTCTCCAGCCCCATGTATGTGTTTTTTGTTGCCTGGTTGTCTCTACCACTTTATGTCTGGTTCCTAAGAAGATGAGAAGGCACTGGGATTCCCCTGGAAATGGAGTTAGGGAGAGTTGTGAGCCTTCATGCTTGGCACAGAACCTGAGTCCTTTGAAAGAGTAACAAGTGCTCTTTACAAATGAAACATCTCTTCAGTCCCAATCTTGAACTTTTGATCCTCTTGTCTTTACTTCCAAAACTGGGATTTTTTAGTTACATGCCCCCATTCCTAGTTCATGCGGTGCTTGAGGTCAAACCCAGGGCTTCTTGCTAGGCAGCACTCTACAGTCCAGTCAGGCCCCAGCTTTCAGGGTTATGTTTTGTATCCACAGATATAGTGCACAGGAAAGCCTGTGAAGGGCATGGTTTCTGTGACCTGGCAAATGTTGGCACAGGGGGATTTCATTCTGGGTAAAGGAGGAAGTTGCAAAGATAACACACCCAAGAGGTCAGCATGTAGTTTGCCTGAGCCTCATTCAGAAGAAGCTGGAAACACTGTATCACCAGACAGATGGGTGGGCAGGAGCTGTGTTAATGTTATAGAAACACTGCATCAGACAGAACCAGGGGAGGCAGGGGTTGAGCTAATGTTGTAGAAACACTGCATTACCAGACCCCGGGGGAGGCAGGAGCTGTGTTAAAGATTCATAAAAGCTGGTAGGGGAGACCCCTCATTTCACCTCACTCTTCTTGGAGCCAGACCACACGGGAGGCATGACATACCTGCAGGCCCTGTCTGCATCTCTTCCTGTCACAATTCCTGTGTCTCTGTATAGTTTACTGTAAAGAGATTCACATGCAGCAATTCAAACTGCCAAACCCTACAATAATCTATTTTCACTGTTTTTTTTTTTTAAGTTTATTAGTAGGTAACTGTCCTAGTCAGTGTTCTATGACTGTGAAGAGCTATAATGACTAAGGCAATTCTTATAAAGGAAGTCACCTGAGACTTGCTTACAGTTTCAGAGGTTTAGTCCATTATCACCATGGCAGGAAGCATGGCGGCCTACATTGTGCTGGTGCAGTAGCTAAGAGCTTTATTGTAATCTGCTGTCTGAGAGAGAGACAATGGAGTTTGTGTCTAGTGTGGGCTTTTTGAAACCTCAAAGCCCATAGTGACACACTTCCTCTAAGGCTGTACTTCTGAATCTCTTTCAAATAGTGCCACTCCTTGCTGACCAAGCATTCAACACATAGTCTGTGGGGCTGTTCTTATGCAAACCACCACATTCCCTGACCCCCATAAGCTTGTGGCCATTATCATAAGGCAAAATGCATTCAGTCTCTGTATGTTTATCACTCAATAAT